AAATTGAGACAGTGTTCCACTCAATGGAGGACTCTGGTCTTTTACAAAATCTAGGGCTGAACCTTTCAGATGCTCACCAGGCAGCATATGCATTCTTGCTCCAATCTAGGTTCCTGTAGGTAATTTGACGTATGTGTGGCCTTTGCTACTATTTTCAATGAAGAGACTAGAATTAGGCGCATTTATACAAATCTATTTATTTAATGAAATTAATGATGAGAAAACTCCCAAGGAAAGGTGCTGGCCAGAAAAGATGGTTGGAATTAACCTTCATATACTTTGTATATCCTTTCCTTGAAATGAATGAAGTGTGGTAGCTAAGCACATTTTTCACACTTAAAAATCAGAATGAAAAAAAGTTTTGATACCTCTGCTGAATATTTGGTAAGATTTGCTTTATACACTAGGTTCCTGGTTCGGCTTATTTGATGCTGAAGAATGCCTAACTTGGTTTAACTTGGTTGGGTTTTGGTTTTGTCCTTCTTCTTGTCATTTCTTACTTTGTTTCTTCCTTTTAAAGGTTTGTGCTTATTTCCTTTAGACAGTAGTTTCTGTTCAAGACTGAAAAGTTACTGTGTTTCTCAAGAGTGCACAACACCAAGAAAAAATAATGCAAATGTACCAACTCTTTTATAAGGAGAGGGAGGGAAAGTAACACAACATTAAATGATGGTAGTGAAGATCTCTCTCTCTCTCTCTCTCTCTCTCTCTCTCTCTCTCTCTGTGTGTGTGTGTGTGTGTGTGTGTGTGTGTGTGTGTCAGATATCCAGCATCAGTTCCATGGTTAAGGCAACTTGGTTTTTTTCCCGCATGCCACCATTATAATCCTGGAAAATTGTATTTGTCACAAAATCAGTATGCTTTGCTCTTTTACTGTGAACTTTGACAAGAAGCAATCTACTTTATGAAGGATATAAATTGGCCAAATTTCACAGAAATCCAATAAAGGATGGGTGTCCCCCAGTTTAAATTTTTGCTGTGATGGATGATGACAATTTTTTGTTCCCCTTCCACAGAAATTCTCTCTCTCTCACTCCCAAACCCTACTCCCCTTTTTTTCCACATTGTAGATAATGTCAGAGCACTTTAGATAATGTCAAACAGTTAAAGATTATTACGGCAGAGAGAGCACCTTTTGCTAGTTTGGTAAAATTGATTGTATATTTCTAAAGGTATGATATCTCCGTTTCCATTCTAATCATTAGGAAGCGAGGTATGGAGGAAATTGTGACCCACATCATATGTTAACCACTGAAGCAGAGTGGGTTAATGGGACATGCTGGCAGTCATGTAATATGTGGGAAATACAGTTGTCACTACTTTCAGTGCTTAAAAGTCATGTTGCATGGTCATATGGTACTAGACACTGTGTGTTTGTGTGAGGGGGGCCCTCCCCCATGGCCACCTTGCATCTCTTTGTTTCAACTGGAGTGAGGGGTGGGGGAAAGTGCTTATTCCTGCATAATGAGAGGAGTTCCCACCCTAGAGTTACTGAACAGCTATTCAACAATAAAATTTCTTCCATTCCGTGCTATGTAGCCAGCAATTGCATGTGGAAGACATCCCCTCTCAGATGAGTGACTCCCCCACAGACATAAAAGAGAAGGTTTTGTGTTGTGTTTTGTTTTCTGCTCCATCCTGAATTTCATTGTCAGTTCCATTCCTTCAAAGGAGAGGTTCCACTTTGTCATTCAGACTAGATGAAGTGGGGAGGAGGGGAACAAGGGAAGAGTTTGGTCTGGCAGAGACTGAAAGGATACCTTCACCCAGAGTTACATGGCGAGCTCATACTTCCATCTGTTTTCTCATTTATCTGGAAGAGAAAATGCATTTCTTTCCTTCCCAAAGGTTATTGTGGAAAGGGGGCCCTGCTCTCTCACACTGCTGCCTTCCTCCAGTTCTGAGGAGGAGTGGAGGAGCAGGGTAGAGAACATAGCAGCTTCAGGGTCAGCTAGTGAAGATTCCCAAGCAAAGAGTGAGAACCAGCCCACCTTGGCAGAAGACATTTCACAACTGTGGGAGAAAACAATGGAGAAAGCATTCCTTGACCCAGTCAGGAGACAACAGACAAAGCAAGCAGACCCATTTCAAAGGTCTGGCATTCTCACCATCTAGCCCCAGAGCAGCAGGAACTATTCTGACAGAATCTTTTCAGAAAGATGGGAAGGATGGGAAATTTCAGTTTTTATTCAGTTCTTTGCATGGGCAGATGCTTCTCCCACATCTCAAGGAGAATACTTTGATCTATACTGGACTGCAACCTGTAAAGTTTTAAAGTTATAGTAAGTTTCTTATTTCTGCTTTTAAAGTTTTTTCTTATTCCGTTTCTGCTTCTTAAGTTTTTGTTATTAAGTTTCTGCTTTTTAAGTTTTATCTGAGCCTGCTGGAGAGAGAAAGAGGGAGAGACTTGCCCGCAACAGTTGCTTCCTGTAATTTGGCAGCAGTCAAGTCAAAAAGAAGTGGTCTTCTCGTGTAAGAAGAGTGATCTTTGTCCCTATAGCCAAACATGCCTTTGCAAAAATAAAGGAAATCCATAGCATAGGCTTAAGAAAAGGGAGAGAGAAATTCATCTATAAGGGCATGAAGTTCCCTGCTATGGCTTTTGGACTACACTTTCAATCTCAGTATCCCTTATTTGTGAAATGGAGCAATGCTTTGCACAACATCTTCCAAATGCTTGAGTTGTCTGCTCTGCATGCACTTTCAGTTCTGCTTTTGTGCTTGTGGCCCAGTTGTATTGCAATAGGCTGATCTGTTGGGGTCTGATACAATGTGTGAATGGGCTTGCATGTGGCAAGGGACAACTGTACATCTAACAAGCAAGCTGAGGAGCACAGACAAGGATGATTGTAATGTGTTGCACAAAGGAGCTGCTTTGTTTAATTAAGTAGAATTTTCTCCCCTTTTAAAAATAGTTCTAGAGTCAAGAAGCTTTTAACAGAAGAATAAAAGCTCTCACAAATTCACAAATGCTCTAAAAAGGATGGATATTCAATGACATGGTTTCACTTCTCCACTATGTAAGAAGTAAAGTCATTGCACACTCTTCTATATTGTGAACATTTACAAGTTAGGCTCTGAACATGTTTACCTTGGTCTCTTCCATCCCAATTTTCTTCCACTAAGTATTTGGAAGAACAAGAACACTGAGTCCAAGGAAAATAGGATGCTATTAGGCTAGCTTCAAACTGAACTTCTACAATCCCAGTATACTTCGGTTTGAAATGAGACATACATTTAGTTGTAATGAGCTGCATATGAAGGAAGCATGTCTGGTAGATGAAGTATATGTACAGGAAGGCAAGACTCAGGGGTAGCACTGGAAGAATTTTGGCATCAAATTTAATTTAGTACATGTTTTCAGTTTATAAACAGAGGAGACCATGGCTGCTAGAACCATTGTCTGGTAATGTCTATATGTTACTGATTTTACTTTTGATTCAGTATGAGGTGGATTGGCCATACAATTTAAAATAAAATAGACTGACTGTCAGAGTTAAATACTTAACATTTAAGAGCTAATAACTCATTAGCACTTCAGTGTTTCACACAATTGGTCCTAAAACTGCAAGACAAACTGCTGGTGTATAGAGCCTAATTTGGAACCATCACAATATATGAACAAATGCACATCTTTGCAACTTACATGGTATGAAGGTTAAGACGTGAGCAGCATAAACGACTTTGTAAGGGCGTTGACTTTTCTTTTCAACCATTTTTTTAAAAAAATGAAATATATAACACATACATATAAGCACAGCATATTAATAGAAGGTTCTTTATAGATGGTTTTGACAAGGTCTTGCTTGGAAGAGGCAAGGATATGTATATCATGCATTAGTCAAGTCTTTCATTATTTATTCAGGTTGACTAAGTGAAACTGCATCCCAGCATTTTCTGTGTTGCCTCTTTAACCTACTAAAATGATTGATCCATGTTCACTTATGTAACTGTAGAATCTTTCTCCTGCTAGGGTTTCCTGTTGTCTGTTTCTCTCTATCCAGTGTAGTGCAGTTCTTATTCTTCCTGTGTTTAACATCTGTTGACTAATTTAATCTTCGCCTAATAGTCAATTTGTGTTAATCTTCTTTTTTTTTCCTTGCACTTTTTTTTCCATTTTTCTTCCGATGCTTGAAATAGAAGTGGAGCAAAAAGGTAAATAACGTATATAGTCCAAATCCCCCAGCTCCTTGTTATGTGCCTTATGGATGTTAACCTCCTCCCCTCCCCCTCCCCACAACACTCTGATATTACTATAATCAGCAGGATCTCATAAGTACCCCTCATAAAGAAGTCGACTTTGCAGTGAACTGACTTGGCTGCTAAACTGACTCGGCTACTTAAAGCAGGTGGTGGGAGTTAGTTTCTAACGTACCTGCTCTGGGACGGAGACTCCCTTTGCTTTCTTCTTCCCTTTCTTTCTCTTTCCCTGTCTTTTTCTCACCCATGACTACTTGTTAATAAAATATCATGTTGCTTGGCTTCCAGAACCCTCTCCATAGCATGCCATAATTACAGGGGTTCCTGGTCTCTTTCATCCATTGCTTTGGTTGTCCTTTATTTTCTGTTGCTCCTAATAAAGATCTCTCTATATATAATGTTTTAATTTAAATTTTGTTGTATGTCAAGGCACCTTTTATTTTCAGCCTTACAGTTTCTTTAAAGTTTATGACATAAAAACACAAATGAATTAACTGTCGAACAGTTAAAACGTCTGGAGTATGAATGTTGTATTCATTATTAATGCAAGCATAGTTCTATATTTCCAGATATGTTGATATGCCATAGAACCTTTGGTGATACTAAGGAAAACACTTCACAAACTGGTTACTATGGTAACTTTAAGAACCCTGGATGACAAAGAGTGATACAAGCATTAATTACATAAAGGTTTACAAGGACACTTTCTTCTTTATAGTTACTTATGATCTTTACCTAGACTTGATTGGGTAGTATGAGAATGTTAATTTTCTTGTCTTGCTTCTTCCTGTGACTGCTAGTTTTTGTTTGCCCTGGGACGTTGAAAGCTGTTGTGGATTCCCCAAATTTATATGAAGCTGAGCAAAAGGCAGGTGCCTGGTGCAAAGATCCTCTTCAGGCTGCAGATAAAATATACTTCATGCCATGGACTCCATACCGCACTGACACCTTGATAGAATACGCATCTTTAGAGGACTTCCAAAATGGGCGCCAGCAGACAACATATAAACTTCCAAATCGAGTGGATGGTACTGGATTTGTGGTATATGATGGTGCAGTCTTCTTTAACAAGGAAAGAACCAGGAACATTGTAAAGTTCGACTTAAGGACTAGAATAAAGAGTGGAGAGGCTATTATAAATTATGCCAACTACCATGACACTTCCCCTTATAGATGGGGGGGAAAGACTGATATTGATTTGGCAGTTGACGAAAATGGCTTATGGGTGATTTATGCTACAGAACAAAACAATGGAATGATAGTTATTAGCCAACTGAATCCTTATACTCTGCGCTTTGAAGCAACATGGGAAACTACTTATGACAAACGGGCAGCATCTAATGCCTTTATGATATGCGGGGTTCTCTATGTTGTGCGATCAGTATACCAAGACAATGAAAGTGAAACTGGCAAAAATGCAATTGATTACATTTATAACACCCGGTTAAGCCGTGGAGAATATGTAGATATTCCTTTCCCCAACATGTACCATTACATTGCTGCCGTGGATTACAATCCAAGAGACAATCAACTATATGTGTGGAACAACAACTTCATCCTTCGCTATTCTTTAGAGTTTGGCCCACCAGACCCTGCTCAAGGTAAGAATCCTTTTTTTGTTTGTTTGTTTCCACATAAGTATGTGAAGTGCTTGCTAAAGAATTTAGACTTTCATGTACTGGCAGTTACATGGTCTGCATTTAGTAACAACAACAAAAAAAAGGGAAATTTGGATTTTAAATTATTCCTATGCCGTCTGTTCCAAAGCAATATAAAGGTAAAGGTAAAGGTTTCCCCTTGACGTTAAGTCCAGTCATTCCTGACTCTAGGGGGTGGTGCTCATCTCCGTTTCCTAGCCGAGGGAGCCAGCGTTTGTCCGCAGACAGTCTCCGTGGTCATGTGGCCGGCATGACTAAACACCGAAGTGTTTAAACTAAACTAAACTAAACTAAGTGTTTAAACTAAACTAAACTAAGTTGTGTTTAAACTAAACTAAGTGTTTAAACTAAACTAAACAGGAATGCTGTTACCTGCCCACCAAAGTGGTACCTTTTTATCTACTTGCATTTGCATGCTTTCAAACTGCAAGGTTGGCAGGAGCTGGGACAGAGCAACAGGATCTCACCCTGTTGTGCAGATTCGAACCGGATACCTTTCGATCAACCAGCCCAGCAGCACAGCGGTTTAAACCACTGCGCCACCTGCAGTCCCAAAGCAATATATCCAATGATAAATTTTAGCTCCGTATTACTTAGTATATTCAAGACAATCTATGCATTTGTAATGAGAAGCATGTTACCATTGACACGTCTATCTGATTTCAGTGTATGAAAAAAAAAAAAAAACTACTTAGAAGACCCTGTTGGAGTTGTTCCTGATATAGATGTTGTAAGGTTAGGGTTTTAGACATTTTCAAAGTCTTTCCTTTAACCTTACATTACAGTAGAGCAGTGTATCTGAATTGTACTTCAGTCTAGTAAATGCAAGGCAGTGTATTCAAACTCGACTATATTTCTATGTATGCTATTAACTTATAGACATTTGGGAACTTGCCTCAGTGAACAGTGTCTCCAGTAAGTATGTTCATGGTTGAAATGCAAGTATTAAATACAGAAGACATGTGGGGGAATTGTAGGTTTTGTGTGTTTAGTTTTGCTGAAGAATAATGCCTTGTTGGCAAGGCAGTCTAGGAATGATGTTAGTTTGTTTTGCTTTTTCTTTATGAAATGATGTTATAGACTACAATCAGTCTGACTTTTTCCACCCCTTATATTATTATTGGATATTTCTCTTCCACTCATACAGGCCTTGACTTTTAACACTTCGGTTATAGAAAACTGAAGGTTAGTCTCAGAGTTATTTTGCAGTCACACAGTAGGGATGTGGAAGTACAGTATGCATGTGAGAATGTCACCTACAGTACTGCCTAAAACATTTCTTCATTTTTGAACAAATGAACTATTTTAAAGAGAATTTCCCATGAATGCTTAAGGAAACAGTAAATATAATCAGTGGGAACAATGTAAACAACCTTTGAACTCATTTAATAATTTAAATTCCTTTACCTTAACTTTATTTCGGGTTACTCATGCTAAACTACATTTCGGCACATTTTTATTCAAACAGTAAAAAAGGTGAATCTTTGTAAGCCATTTTTATTATTTCCCACTTTTTCAGTGCACATTTTGAATATGCTTTTACTCAATTGATCTTTATATAAAATTAGATTTTTGTACATTTGAATAGTAAATGTGCTGTTGACATGTAAGAACTGAACTGGTTCTAGATGATGTAGCTATTGGGCTGAATCCAGATAAAGGGTAGGATGCAGACTTAGCCAAACAGAGTAGATCTATTTGAATCAAAGCCCTAAGTAGCCCTAAGGATCCAGCCCACTGATTGCAAGGATATACTTTTGTTGCCTCAATATTTCCTGATGCAAAACTGGACTGTCATTCATTAAGAAGAGAAATACAATCCACCTGAAAAAAAAGTTGGGGATCATGTTTTCTTTTAAACAGAGTTTATGCAAGCTGCTTAGGGTGAAAGCATACTTGTACAGGTAGGCATTAGAGCAGTATTTTCAGACCTTTCTGTGGGGGATAGGAAGTTGTCCTAACATCAAGCACTTAATGGTACCATGGGGTCAGTGCCTCTACAGCAGAAGTCATGGCCTCTTCTCTGGAATGCCTAATTTGGGGCCATTATGGAAAACTCAGCAATCTTTGCCACTTCACTTGTGATGGAAGCAATAATGATACATTGACCTACTCAATGAGCCCTCTGTCTTTCATGCCTCTGCATCTCAGCACCTGGCTGTACCATAGCTGCCTAATATAAAAATGGTCTGCACCCTTTTTGCTAAAAAAAAAACCCCAACAACAAAGAGTCCTTTGTCATATTCATGTCATGTGCTCTCCTGAGCCCAAACATTCTTTTCATTCCCAAGGCTAAATATCATTCTTGACCTCAAACATGCACTTTTTCCTGAGAGATAACTTGAGTTACTGGTTTATGTTAGTTCTCCACATTTCAGTGGCCATAGCATTGCCAAAAGGCTGAGTCTTGCATTTGCACAGCACTGAAGCAATACTGTGTTCTTCTGCATGGTCTCTGTACATCCTTTTGCAGCCCTGAGTCTTTTATCTATGTTGTAAGCCGCCCCGAGGCTTCGGCGAATGGGGCGGCATAAAAATGTTTTAATAAATAATAAATAAATAAATTCATTCATGACATAGAGTTATGTGTTCTGTAGCTATCCAGGATTGTATACTTACATTCCATCATTTTGGCAATTTGTAATCTTTTGATCTTACAGCTGTTAAATCTCTCTTGCAAAGGTTAACATGTGATATTCAGCATGTTCTGTGATGACAGGAAAACAACATAGCCACAGCTTCACAAGGTGCCCTTTGAATTTGGGAATAGTAGTGAACCCACATTCTAGGTTTTAGCTTAGGACATTGCTTGTCAGTTGCATTTTCATCATTCTTTTATCAGTATGTTACATAAGTGCATACATAAGAAGATCCAGTTGTTCCTTCCCTGAAATCTAAGTATTCTTACATCACTGGACAATAAACTATCACATACTTCTGGTGTGAGAATGGCCTGTTCATGCTAAGTGGGTTTTAAATTTCATTTTTCCCAGTTTTGAATTTTTACTTTTTTTTCATTGAGCTGCAGTTGCATACTATGTTTGGCCCTTCCTTCCAGTTCATAAAAACAATTTTGTACAGCTTGGAAGATATAACAGGAATACAGGTTCTCCATTGCGTCTGAAGAAATCTTTGCATTCTGGACCATTGGGTTGTTTTCTGATATAAACTACTAAGAATTATTATAAGATAATTGCTTTCATTAAATTCACTGATACATTTCTGTTTCATTTTGTTTCCATGATAAGGATTCTGTCTATCTTCTGAATTTACAGATGCCTGCTAACCTACTTGCCAGCATTTAAAAATATAAAAGAAGTGTTTTACATTGCAGTCCCATTCATAGCTTCTCAGAAGTAAGACCCATTAAGTTCAGCAGAGCTTATTCCCATGCTAAGTGCATTCAGTTTCCCTCTCTTTGAGATCCTTATCCTGTCATCAGATCTTAATTTTGTCGTCTTTTATTTTCTTGATTTTAGGTGACATTTTCCTAGCAGCATTATTGCTGATATATTATACAGGGATCTCAAAATCTGTATGTATCACATTTATCTCTTTGGACCTTTTCTGGCACATCTGAAGCCAGAAATTTCAGCCCGGGAGAGGGAGAGAGAGAGAGCAGGAAGTTTAAAGGGCATGGGTTGCACATCCACGTGCATTGTTCAAGGTATGGCTGCACTTACAACATGAGAAGCTGCTTCCTGTCTTCTTTTAAGCACTACACATTGCAGAATGCAGCTAGGAAATTCATAATCCAAGCAGAGTCTTTCTGGCTTGAGCTATTGAGCAACATTATAACCATCATTGCAAAGGTAGTTTATACCAACCCCTGGGGGGGAAATTATGCTGTCTGAGAACATCCATGTCTTCTAGCTATAGAATGGATGTCATAGCCTAATTGATTGTAGTATGTTTTTATTTAAATAAAAAATTTCAACCTAATTGATTGTATTGGTATATATGTTAAAATATAGAGGACCACAATTCTTATCTTCTTCAAACAACTGATTCTCCTGTAAGCCTCTCTTCTTTTCTGCACTCCCAAGCCTGTCTGGATGCTTGTGGTGCCACCTTTAGGGAAAGAAGTGCAGACCTTTCCACTTGATTTTTTCACAGTAAATAAAAATAGCACTGAATCTGAGTTTTCAGTTGATGACATCTGCACTTTTACACATGCAAACATAACTCTTAGTTCTAAATCATAAATTTGATGAAAAGGACACCCCCACTCTATTATTAAAATGTGCAGATCATTTTTCAGACAAGGCAGTTGGATTTCAGATATTTTAATAGCTACATGGGTGGCACTGGAATCTGTCTTGGTAAAGCAACAGCTGCAGATTGAGTACTGGATGAAATTATATGCTTTTGTGAGTCTAACCTCATAGCTGGACTTCAGAAAGAGGTCTTCGTGATACTTTTTACTGAAATTATGCTGTAGGGCACAGAGGTAGTTTAAACAAGATAGAAGCTGTCAAAAGTAAGAGGATCTGTGAGAGTATTAATTGCACTATTGTTGATACAGATTTCTGTCATGAAGAATGTCTTAATTAAGCACATGGTGTCTAGAAACTGAGTAATAAGGGGAAACTTCCCTAGATTCTTCCCATAACACCCCCAGATCTGAATCAGCAGTGGCTTTTTGACACTTTTGCAAGTGCTTGTGATGCTTTTGACAAACGTTAATTGAGAAAGCATTGGAAGTCTGGCTGCATTGTAATCAAAAGAAAATTACAGTGGTTTCACAAGATGTCATGCAAGTGCTTGCAGAGAAGATAGACAGGTTTGAATAGGCTTTTGCAGCAGGTAAGTAAAGAGTTCAGCAGGATTGTATAGGTGGCATTCGATCAGGCTAGAAATAAAGCACAGCATTCAAGAAGATTGTGATGGAAAATAAAAATCAGAAAAGCAAGATCTTTTAAAATTGACAACTAGAAAAAGAG